GGCAATCCTACTTCCGTAGTGATACTGCCTCGGAAACCCAAGGAGGGGTCGCTATGAGTCGGGGCCGACTCGACGGCACATAACAACAACAACAACAACCGCTACAGAAGTAGATTGCCCAGTCTTCCTTCCAAGGAGTGGCTGGTGGGTTTGAACTGCCTTCTGGTTAGCAGACAAATGCCTTAGGCACTATGCCACCAGAGCTCCTTGCACCAGTAGAATGCCTGGAATATACTAAATGCTTGATAAATATCTACTGAATGATGGATAAAGGAATTCCAAATAGAGCAAGAACTCTACAAGCAAGAAAGAGCCTGGTGTATAAGAAAAATTAGAACAACTGGAATGAAAGAGATGGTAAATGGTGCAGACAGGGGGTAGAAAAGGGGCAGGAGCCAAATTATGCAAAATCTTATAGCCGTCGTGTGAAGAATCTGGGTTTTATCCATGTTGCACTGAGTTGCAAACAAAGAGTTTAAATGTGGGTATGTGTCATGCTTTAAAGGAGCTCTGGTGACATAGTGCCTAAGACATTTGACTGGTAACCAGAAGGTTGGTGGTTCAAACCCACTAGTCACTCCTCAGAAGGAAGACTGGGCAATCTACCTCTGTAAAGATTTACTGCCTCAGAAACCCAATGAGGGTCACTATGAGTCAGAATTGACTTGACGACAGTGAGTTTGGTTTCTGTTGTTGGTGTCATGCTTTAATTTCTGTTTTAAGATCTTGCAGTCTTTTATCTTTTTAAAGTTAACTTTATGGTGTCATTCCCCTGCTTAAAAATCTTTGGTATGAAGTCCAAGTTATAAAATATGTATCTATTTGGTAGTGCCCCACTGCTTAATGCATGAAAACTACCTAACATAGCAGAGAAGGCCCATTGGTAATTGACCTGGCATTCTAGGCCTAATCTTCTTCTCTTGCACAAATCCTGTTCTTGTTGTTAGCTGACATTTAGTCAGTGCCCAGCTCATGGTGACCCCATGTGTTACACAGTAGAACTGCTCCATAGGGTTTTCTTGGCTGTTACCTATATGGAAGCAGATTGCCAAGCCTTTCTTCCATGGAGCTGGGGATGAGTTCAAACTGCCCACCTTTGGGTTAGCAGCCGACTGCAAACTGTTGTGCCACTAAAGCTCCTTAGACACATTTTAGACTTTCAACTCCAAAATATTATTTAGGCTGTCCCTTATACTTGGAATGTGTCCTCTCACACTGAGCTTTCAGGTTCCTTCTCAACCTCCAACATCCAGCAAGCTCACAAGTCACTTCTGTGAAGACTTCCTCAACCTCCTCCTTCCAGTCTATGCAGCTTGTAGATGGGCGCTGGCACTATCATATGGTCTGTGTATCTGCTCTTGAAGACAGGGACTAGTGCTATGCCTCACAGACAGTAAGCTGTCAAGTGATCAATCCCTTCATAGTTTTAAAGTGTGAATGCAAATGGCATTCTATGAGACTGAGCTCTGGAGTCTCCTGATGGTGGTATGGCCTGAGAGAAAGTCCCGTCATTTCAAGGAAAGAGAGTCATGAATGAAAAGAGCAACTTTGACTCTGTGTCACTGTGGATTAAGTAATGAGCCAGTTTCATCTGTACAGTGGGGATACTAAAATAAACCTTATAAGAGCATTGAGCCCTGCTGGCTCAGTGGTTGCGTATTGGGCTGTTAACCGAAGGATCGGCAATTCAAACCCACCAGATGATCCATGAGAGAAAAATGTGGTAAAGATGTGCTTATCTTCACTGGAGAAAGATGTTTCCATAAAGATTTACAGCCTTGAAAACCCTATGGACAGTTCTACTCTGTCCTATAGGGTTGTGATGAGTCAGAATCAACTCAACAGCAGTGTGTTCAGTATTGGGATTAAATGAGAAATACTTTGGAAAATACCTAGCACAGACCCTGTGTTTGTTAGTTGCCACTGAGCTGATTCTCACTCATAGTGACCCCGTGTGTGCAGAGTAGAACTGTTCATAAGGTTTTCAAGGCTGTGACTTTTTAGAAGATCATCAAGCCTGACTTCTGAAGCACCTCTTTGTGGGTTCAAACCACCAACCTTTTGGTTAGCAGTCAAGTGTTTACATGTTTGTGCCACTGAGGGACTCTGCACAGACCCTGGGTTTTATCCGTGTTGCACTGAGTTGCAACCGAAGAGTTGCACGTCTGATAAATGTTGTTCTTGGCTATTACAGTAGATGCTGGAAAATGACAGCCATTATTGTAATTATATTCAGTTGTTATTTATATTTTAAATTATGTCAGTTTTTCACTTTTTCTCAGTGGACCATGTTATCATAACAAACAACATATTTTCTTAGAAAATTCCTAATACTTGGTATTTGACAAGTATTTTTAGATTGAACAATACATTATTAATAAAAAGGGTCTTACCTACTTTTATAGATTTTTCTACATTTGTTCAGGAGCATTTCAAATGTGAAACTATGAGGCATCAAGATTAAAAACTTTATATGCAAGTGAGCATATTAAAATATGAAAATTGTATAAATATAAATATTATAAACTAAAACCTTGCTGTCAACTCACAGTGACCATATAGAACAGAGTAGAACTGACCCAAGTGATTTCCAAGGGTGTAAATCTTTATGGAAGCATACTATCACATCTTTCTTCCACAGAGTGGCTGGTAGGTTTGAACTGCTAACCTTTAGATTAGTAGCTGAGTGCTTAACCACTGTACCACCAGGACTCTGTAAAAATTGTAAGGCCTCATAAAGCAAACATGAACCAAACCCACTGCCACTGAGTGGATTCTGACTCATAGACACCTTATAGAACAGAATAGAACAGCTTCATAGGGTTTCCAAGGCTATAAATCTTTACTGAAGCAGACTGCCTCATCTTCTTCCCACAGAACAGCTGGTTAGATTGAACTGTCAATTTTCCAGTTAACAGCTGAGTGCTTTAACCACCATGCCACCAGAGCACCTTCAAACATGTACAATAGGGACTATATTTCAGTGTAATTGGAAGTATTATTTTTAAAAGTAAGTAATTCCAACTCACCTCTGTTCCCACAAAGAACTTTGTACAGAAGTCCTCTATTGGTTTAAAAGGATTGGCCAACCCAGCTTCCAGATTATGGTATGGGTTCATCTCTCCGACTTTTGTTGCTTTGCTCTGGGCTACTGCTTTCTCTTTCAGAGGAGTATAGATAGAAGAAGCACATATTTACAGTGAGAGACCTTCTAAAAATACAGTTTTCAGTTTCCATTCCCAGTCATTCCCAGCAGCACTCTCCCCTCCCCAATGTTGTGGGCATAAGCCCAACAATTTAGATTTCTAATTTAGTAGTAGAACCCTTTTCTCATAGCTTATGTGGAATTCTCTGCATGTAAAACTGATCACAGGAGTATGTGTTTGAGCAAATAAGGAAAAGGGTTTATTTAGTCAATAGTTTAAAGAGGATAAGGGCAGAGAAAAATTTTATCATCAACTATGCCTATCTATTCAGACCTGACTGGAATAACTGTTAAATATTTAGTAAATTCAAGGTCATGGATCTGCTATCTTTGGGGATAGTAATAATACTAGCAGCTAACATTTATTGAAAACATACTACACGCCAGGCACTAACCTGTGTGCTTTATATGAATTATGTCATTCAATTCAATGCCTCCTGAGGTGTGTAAGCATTAATTCTTCTTCAAAGATGAGTAGACTGAGGCTGAGAGAGGTTAAGTAGTGTGCTCAAAGTCTCACACTGGCAGCTAATATGTGGTGTTCTCAGTGCTAATGTTAATATTCATTTTATCCTCACAATATGATGTAGTTACTTTTATTATCTACTCCTTTTTTCTCTTCCTTTTTAAACAGGTTAAAAAAAAAAGTAAAGAAAGATAAAATAATTTGTCCTGGTCAAATAATAAATTGTAGGGTTGGAATTCAAACCCAGACTATGGACTCTAGCAGTGACGTCACTAGGATTGGTGTCATCCAATGTGGTAACCCATGGTGTCACACACACACACAAACACACATATAGACCATACTTCTCTACAGAAGTAGATTGCCCAGCCTTCCTTCCAAGGAGTGTTTGGTGGGTTTGAGCTGCCAGCCTTCTGGTTAGCAGTCAAATACATTAGGCACTATGCCACCAGAGCTCCCTACAGAACTCTTTGATGCTGTTGCTGTTAGGTGCTGTTGAGTCATCTTCAACTCATAAATACCCTATGCACAGCAGAATAAAACACTGCCTGGTCCCGTGCCAGCTCCGCAATCCTTGCTACACTTGAGCCCATCGCTGTAGCCATTGTATCAATCTATCTCGTTGAGGGCCTTCCCCTCTTCCGTCAACCCTCCACCCTACCAAGCATGACATCCTTCTCCTGGGAATGGTCCCTTCTGACAACATGACCAAAGTAGGTGAGAC